TAACAATAAACCTTCGTGCCTATTTTCTTCTGTTCCACTGAACCACCGTGTTTTCGGGTAGAAATACCTAGGATTCTTAGCCACCCACTGTTACAGAAGTATTCATATGCCAAATTTCTGTGAACTTAAACTATGATTTCACTAGGAACTCTCACTCATGGAAAGTTTGGAATGGTTTGATTCTGTAGGCAGGAAGGTGCCGTACCAGAAGATAAAAGAGGAAAAGACGACGATTTTGCAAACAGATACCTATTTCTTCCCCTCGAAAACAACGAATAATAAATGTGCGGCTGCACTAAATAATCGCGCGATGAGTATTTGCTGACAGTCACAAGTAATGGCGCGCACCCTCCGCGTACCTTCCTGAAATCGGTAACACTTGTACACCTCCGTACGTATAATACCAAGTTGAAGAATAGCTTAGACGTGGGACATATGCACTAATGAACTAAAATCTAGGAACTCACTTGTGCTATGATTGGTCTTTATAAAAACTGCAAGAAAAAGGGTTAAATATTAGTGCCTAAGAATACTTTGAATGAATTTAAGAAGAGCGACAATTGTTGGTAGATAAAGATTAGCAAATATACTCCCAAACACTCTTCGTCATTCCTTGCTTTGAAAGACATCCTCCCACCAAGAGACCACTAAGCTATGTCTTCAGTGGCTGTTATGGAGAGAGAGGGAGAGTGGGAGAAAGAGAGGTTCCGGCACATGCTAGGACCCTCGTACCTATATGATTCCACATGTCCACATCGCAGTGAACTATATCCAAATGTTGGCTAATCTTAACAACTTGCGTTGAAGGATGGTCTTGGGGATTTGAGCTGCACAAAGTGTATTTTTAAAGCTTTTGGTCCCATAGAAGTGATTATAGCTCTTCAAGATAGTTTCTCATTGTAATCGTTCAAGAATGGAATTATCAAAGCTTATTTTCTTTGTTTATGTCTACAAAATCTTGAAGACTGCACAGTAAAGCGATGTTAAGTCTCATCTGGTCAAGAAATCCGCCAAAATCTGTACATATCTTATGGACGATCGGCCTGCACTATTGCAAATCTTATCATGTGGGAAGCTGAGAGGAAACAAACGAGCGTACTGGGTAAAGCCTTTCCCTGAAACGTCCAAAGATGGATAAAAATACAGTCGATGGTGTACCACAAATGTGGAGAAACCAAAATCCTGTAGTTTCAGAAATTGCTTGTGAATGTTTTGAGCATTGCTTGTGATGTTTTGAGCTTTCTTTTTGTTTACTAAGTTACCTAAAGTAGACTTACTGACGTGTTCAACTACTCTGGGCACATTAAACAGCCATCTTTCTTGAAAGCTAATAATTGTCTTTCGCCTTCACTATAATTTACTCTTACGGTTAATCGTCAAGTGTGCGCACACACCATGGTACAAGGACAACTCATCGACGCAATTTTGATTGTCTCTTCTGGCGGCTTTCGAATTTGATATGCTTTAATTGTTTGGATTATCTTTGAACTATTTTACCATTAATAATATGTTGCTACAAGTAAGAGATGGAACTGTTTCTGTTAAAAAGCAGCATGTTAATGACCAATATATATATTATGTATATATATATATTATATAGGGGAATTCTTCATTTTTGTTTTCTCTATTCTTTTCAGATTAAAAGGCGTTCGAAATCAGTTTAGAAGGTATGGCTGACTTTGACCAGGATAAAGTTGTTACAACTTTAAAAGCTTACCTTAAGCTTTGCTCGAAGGCTAGCAATCGTCCCGTAATATTAAAGGTTCTAATACTAATTTTTCCCCAAAAATGTTTTCCACATTTGGCACACTTTCAGGATCAAAGCTTTCTTCAAGTCTTAAAAACATTGGTGTCTGATGATCGAGTTGTCATTATGACTTATCTTGTAAAAGTAAGTGGTATGCCTCTCTTCCAAAAACGTTTTTTTTTTGTTGAGAAATTAAATTTCCTAAGGTTTTACCAATTGTTATTGTCGCAATAGGGTTAAAACTTCCACTTCGTCCCAGATTCTTCTTCTTCTCACGGAAAATAGTGATGATGTGGAAGCAATGTGTGCGATCCCGGAAATCGAGCAGAAACTCTCGAATGCTACTGAGAAGCAGTTCCCTCCCAACATTGTGTACAACATGCTCGTCATAGTCTCACGCCTCAAAGCCGCTCAAAATAAGTTAGCTCGAAGCAGGTTGGTTGAAGTATCTTGCTAGCGCGGAAATATTCACAGGTTTTTCATCTTTGCTGTGCTTTTTTTG